AAAATGACATTTATATTTCAATGTTTAGGTATTAGGAAGAGTGGGATACATACTAGAATGAGTTTTTTATAACCCAGGTAATTTTGTAAACTCTTCTTTGTAGTTCTTTTTTCTTATGCAGACAGATTTATGTGTCTAAGATGGTTTAGGAATTTCTTTGCTTGGATTTGTGGTGCTTAGACCAATTGATTTTCTGCTGGATCAAAAATAGTTTTTTTGCCAGATCAAAATACATTTCACCAGAGAAACGATGCTTATTGAACTAGGGAGGAAATGCAGTACTAATGCAGAGGACCTTCTTGGACCATATGACTTTCACTTGCATGTTGTATCATTTCTCTTTGAAATTTTAATTTTAGGTCCAACACTAATTGACAGTGCATTGCCAGTGTTGATCTTATACTATTTATATATCTATTCTTATTATGATAAATTTAGATGTAAGATGTTAACCAGAACCATGAACTGCATTACATAAAATGATACATTTCAGAAGATCTAAAATGCCAGCAAAATGGTAGGGACAATGACATAGCTAGTTGTTAATTTTTCCCTGAAGAGTGCCAAAATGATGTTACAGTCTTTTTTTATTTTTTTTTATTTTTTATTTATTTTTTTACAGTCTTTTTTTAATACAATGGTTGAATGTAATTCATTGGTGCTCTTGAACACAAGCAAGTCATTCTCATAGGCAAAAAAGCTGTGATGCCCAACTTCTTGAAACAGATCTGTTAGGAACCTACCTCTCATCTTTCTCCCATGGTTATTGAACTTACTGTCTAGTTTACCTCCTGCAGTATGTAGATAAGAGTACACCAATCCAACACTTTTAACTCTCTCAAGGAGCATACGTGATGCAGGGACAATTAACCTGTTCCATATATGTATACCAGATTAGGTGTCAATTCAACACTCTCCAATAAGGTATAGGTAAAGTAAAGCGTTACTTGCTGTCAAGTTCAACTCTTTGTGAGCCCATGGACTGTAGCCCACCAGGCTCCTCTGTCCATGGGATTCTCCAGGCAAAAATACTGGAGTGAGTTGCCATTCCCTTCTCCAAGGAATCTTACTGACCCAGGGACCAAATCCAGGTCTCCTGCAATGCAGGCAGATTCTTTACCATTTGAGCCACCAAGGAAGCCCCAATAAGGCATACTATTACAGAAATGGACTGGGCTATTTCCCTAAGTAGTGATTCTCCCTCTACTGAAAATGTTCATGCACATTTGTGTCTGATATGTTCAGTGCCATGGTTCAGTCTTGACCAGTGCTTCGTGCACAGTAAACACTATATATGTATATGTAGTGTGTGTATGCATATATATGTGTGTGTGTGTGTGAATGAATGAATGAACACATAATGGAGGCACAAAATGGCTGATGTTTAAGTTAGCTTTTGCTGTGTAATGAACCATGCCAAAAGGTGGCAGTTTAAAACAGTGATTCATTATTTTTCATGATTCTGTTGGCTGAACAGTCTGAGATGGTCTCCTATTTCTGGGACATGAGCTCTTTGGCTGGGACAATTAAAGTCTTTCTCTCCAGGTCTCTCAGCATTCCGAGAGAGTGAGAGTGGGAGCTGTAATACCTCTGCTGGTTAGGCTTGGGAACTCATTTCCAGTGTATTTTATTGGACAAAAAAGTCACAAGCCCAGATCCAGAGATGAGGAAATCGACCCGACCTCTTGATGAGTGTTGTTGTTGCAGATTTTGTAGCCATTTTTAATCTACCATAGATGGCCAAGTTTAAAATACCATTTGTATGGAATTCTTGTAATGGGAGAAAGATTGGTCAAGCTGATCTCCCAGAGTCCCTCCAGCTCTGAGATTCCACCAGCCTGAATGGATCTCTTATGTTCTAACAGAGAACAGTTACTAACCCATTGTAATTGGAAACTTCAATCTCCTACATCTGGTAAGATAATTTCAAAGATAATTCATTGAATAATTATTACTATAATCTAGAATTTATAGTTTTCCTTTGATGCTGCTGCTAAGTCGCTTCAGTCGTGTCCGACTCTGTGCGACCCCATAGATGGCAGCCCACCAGGCTCCCCCGTCCCTGGGATTCTCCAGGCAAGAACACTGGAGTGGGTTGCCATTTCCTTCTCCAATGCATGAAAGTGAAAAGTGAAAGTGAAGTCGCTCAGTCGTGTCTGACTCTTAGCGACCCCATGGACTGCAGCCTACCAGGCTCCTCAGTCCATGGGATTTTCCAGGCAAGAGTACTGGAGTGGGGTGCCATCGCCTTCTCCGATAGTCTTCCTTTAGCCATTTCAAATACCTACCAGAATGCTCTTGTTAGTGAGAGTGGTATTTACAACTAATAGGCACTAACTCTACTTTGAATTCTGGTGTTTACTAGCAACATTCTCCTTTTCTTATGCTCTGTTGACCATTCTATGAAAACTGGATAAATCCTTTATTTTTTTTCATCCATCAAATACTTAATGTTTTAGAAGTCACTGCAATAATATAAAATTCTTATTTTTCTTCTGCATCAGAAGTGATGCAGAAGATCAGAGTGCTTATATTATTGCCTTGATATTTAATGTTATTAACTATTAAAAGTTGTAGATCTACCACTTTTCTGTAATGATTCTTTTATGGCAATTTTAATAAACTACAGATATTCCTTTGTGATTATTTTAGTAACAGCAGATACACAGATATATGAATGCAGAAATATCACATAGATAACTTATAATTAATAAATAAAAACCCTGTGGAACTTTCCATTAAGGTGTTTCAGAACAATTACAGTAGGGAAAAATAGTATTGTGGAGACTGAACTGATGGCTAAATTGTGATTTAATAGAAAACTTCACACCAAAGAATTGTGCCAGTGTATTTTTGTATGTGTATGTACTTAGCTGAAAAATCATGTATGTTTTTGACAATTTTTGACAAATATTTGACAAATACTTAAAATATGTTTAGTTATTATTGAGGAATCTGTTTTAAAATTTTTAGTCTGGCATTAAATCTCCTGTCCCCAAATTCTACACTAATATCTCTCTCTTCCTACTCTTCCCAATTCTTCTAAAAACAAACAAACTCCAATCAACTCACAACAGGTTTCTAAAAATAAAGCTAAAGTTCATCTCTGTGGGACTATTAAGTTAGGTCTTGAATGTACTGTTGATAACTAACCTGATCAGGTAACAACGCCAGGAAATCTTGTTCTACCTTTGCTTTTTTTAAAAATTAAACTTTCTTTGTTTCCCATTTACAGAAAAGAGAGTTATTATACACTCCCATGTCTACCTCCCAACCAGTTTCTCCTATAACTAACATCTTGCATTGGTGTGGTAGGCTTGTTACAACTGATGAACCAATATTGGTTATATTACTCACTGAAGCCCACAGTTTACATTAGGATTCCCTCTTTGAACAGTTCTGAGTTTTGTCAAATGTATGCCATGTATCCATCATGACAGTGTCATACACAATAGTTTCACTACCCTAAAAATCTGTGTTCCCCCTGTGTGTCCCTCCTCCCTCCCCCCAGTCCTCACTTTTCCTTTTTAATTACCCCAATTGAGGGTGGTATAGTTGAAGCTAAGAATTTGCTCAAGTAATCCATGATTCTCCATGGCAATCAAGATTTCTTAATCATCAATTTAGACTAGCACTGTCAAACAGAAATAAAATATAAGCCACATATATGTTTAAAAATTTCTAGATGCAGTATTAAAAAGAACAAGTAAAATTTATATATATATATATATATACTTATCCCAATATATCCAAAATATTATAAATTCCAATATAACCACTATAAAAATTGAGGTACTTAATTTTTTTGGTACTCTCAAAATATAGTATGCATTTCAAACTTACACATCTCATTTCAAACGACTCCTATTTCAAGTGCTCAGTAGCCAGGAGCAGCCAGTGACTAAGGACTTGAATAGAGCAGTCTTAGGCTGAGAGCAACTGGAAAGCAAGCTGTCCTCCTCTCTCCAGGGTCTCTAGATTAGACAGGAAGGGGATACTTTTGGAAGGTATTCAATACATCAGAAAGACAAAAAGGGCCCTCTAAACCTCTGGGTGCTGATACTTAAATGTTCTATAATCACTTTCTTTAAACTCTCCAGTTCTGGAAAAAGTGGAATGGGGATTATACTCATTTTGGCATATCGAAGAAATGAGTATGTATGTATCCTGACTCCCAGAAAGCCTGAATCATCCAGAATGTTGACTCATGAGCCTAAGGTGACTGAAATGCAATGTGAATCAAATTTGCCTTCCAAGGCATCCTTCTCTTTCCACTTTCCTCTCTCCCCTCCCTCTTTTGGGTGACTCATCCTTCTACCAATTAAGTCCAGCAGCGGGCAGATCCCAAAGCCCTCTTTGAAGAAGTACAGACTTTCATCAAATCGTCTGTTCCAGTCAGTCCTATATCGTCTAGCCCAGTTGTTTTGCCTACCTCATCCAGGGTCTGCAGTTAAGACTGGGAGTGACTTTAAACCTGTAAAAAATATTTTTTCTTTTAAGGTGGTGATACCTTAAGGTGATAAGGTGTTTTGGGAATTTACGTTTGAAAGAAAACAATTTTTTATTTCGAAATCTAAAATTTAACGTTTGCTTCAATCCTTAAGGCCTACTCCACAGTACCGTTATTCAGAACCTTTCTGCGCTCTGGGTTTTTTCCTTTCCTGGGAGGAAAAGTTTCCACTCCCAGTCTCCAAGATAACGCCCTTCCGGTGGCGTGCCAGGAACGTCTCCGACCCCTCAGGGCTGGGAGGGAGCGGGTTCGTTTCCCCACTGCAGTAAACACAAATACTCCAGCTTGCCAAGGCCAAGACCAAGACCCCAGCCGGACCTGCAACTACCCTAAGCAGTCGGTGGGGTTCCCAGCTCCAAACCCCGCCCATCGAACCCACCCTGGCCGGTAAGAGAGAGGAAGTGCAGTGAGACCCACCCACTTTCGCCTTTTTCCTTTTCTGTTGGGCCGGCTGGTTGCCCGTCAACTCTATTTCTTCGCCGATTGGCTCGCTCCTCCCGCGTTAGTGCCTGCCTCTCCCTGGCTGGGAGGGTGAAGTCACGCCAAACTGGGCGGAGCGTCGGCTGGCCTCTCTCCTTCCCTCATCTGGGCGGCGGCGGCGGCAACTGGGGACGGGGCGGGTGGCGCATCACGGGCGCGGAGGCTGGAGGAGCAGTCTCATTGTTCCGGGAGCTGTCGCCACTGCAGGTCCCTCGGCTCGTAGGGCCCTGCCCCTCTCAGTCTTCCCCACCCCCCACAACCGCCCGCGGCTCTGAGAAGAAGCTTCTCCCGCGGACGCAGCAGCTGCAGCATCACCTCCGACCTGCCAGCCATGGAAGACATGGACCAGTCGCCTCTGGTCTCCTCGTCCTCGGACAGCCCGCCTCGGCCTCAGCCCGCGTTCAAGTACCAGTTCGTGAAGGAGCCCGAGGAAGAAGAGGAAGAGGAGGAGGAGGAGGAAGACGAGGACGAGGACGAGGACCTGGAGGAGCTGGAGGTGCTAGAGAGGAAGCCCGCCGCCGCGCTGTCGGCGGCCCCGGTGGCCGCCGCCGCCGCCACCACCCCGGCTAGTGCGCCCCTGCTGGACTTCGGCAATGATTTCGTGCCCCCGGCGCCCCGGGGGCCCCTGCCGGCCGCGCCCCTCGCCGCTCCGGAGCGGCAGCCGTCTTGGGACCCGAGCCCCGTGTCGTCGGCGGTGCCCGCGCCCTCCCCACCCTCCATTACAGCAGACTCGCCCTCCAAGCTCTCTGACGACGAGGAGCCTCCGGCCCGGCCTCCCCCTCCTCCACCGGCCGACGTGAGCCCTCAGGCCGAGCCCGCGTGGACCCCGGCTGCCCCAGCCCCCGCCGCGCCCCCCTCCACGCCGGCCGCGCCCAAACGCAGGGGCTCCTCTGGCTCAGTGGGTGAGTGCCGCGCCCTCCGCCTCGCGCCGCCCCTCGCGCCCCTCCCTCTTTTGTGCGCAGCCCTTAAAGCCTGGACCCTGCCCTTCTGTCCACCCGGAGGGGGCTTTGTCTGCAGATCTTTGGGCGAAGGCGCCCCCGCTGGTGGGAGCCGCGGGGAGCAGGGTGGGGCGGCAGAGGAAGCCCGGGCTTACTCTTTATTGTCCGTCTGGGTATCGGGGAGCACGTGCACCCCGACCGCTCCCGGGTTGTTCTGTCTGCTCGCCATTCCACCGGGTCGGGGAAGTTAGGAACCCACCCCTGGCAGGAGCTGGGTCTGTAATGAGGGAACTAGGGGTGTGGATTCATCGGGCTGCCTTGGTTCCGGGGTGAGGATGGAAGGCCTTGGCGCCCTAATCTTTTGTCTGCCCGACTAGGTTGCTCCTGGGGAAAAGACGCAGTTTCTTTCTGGTCTTTGCCTGCATTCAGCCCTGGCCCCTCTCCTCACCCATTCCTTGGCTTGGGTGGCCCCATGCTCTTCATCTCCCCCGCCCCAGCCCCGCGCTCTTGGGGAGCCGGTCCAGTGGAAAACGTCCACATTGACCTGACTGCAGTGAAGGGAGAGCGCCTCCAGTGGTGTGACGCGTGGAGAATTGGGGAGCGGAGTTTTGGCGAGGTCCTGCCACCGCCCAGTTTACCCGGGTTGTGATGTGGCTATTTACCAACAGCTTAACGGAGCCGGGGAAATGGGACCTGGGCACCATGTTCCAAGGGGGCGCAGTTCTGCCGGGAGCTCTGCCGCAGAAGGAGGGGAATAGCTGTCAGGATGCACAGGTTTAGCCTCTTAATGCATTGTAACTGAATCGTAGAGATAAAAGGAAAAGGCAAAATGGTTGACATTCCCAAAGAAGGGGAAACCTGTGGATTCCCTGGCGGGAAGAGGACAGTTGAACTTGTGGTAGATTTACCATGGGACTTCATGAAATGTTTTGAGACAGACGTTTTCATCCGTTGGTTAGAAATACTGTTTCGTAGAAGTAATATATTTTAGGGCTGCAGAGACAGATTTGCATTGTCCGTAAGTAGTTTTCAAATCTTTTCATTTACCAGTACCTGATTGTTTGTTATTACTATTATTAGGAAAAATTGTTTTATTATCCTTTTAATTTGGGGAAATTGTTTATTCTGGAAGAGAAAAAAGTTTGTTAGAGGTTGAGAATTCATCCTATTAGACATGTTAATTAACTTATTAACAAGTAGCTTGTTAATTTGGGGACAGATAGCGTCCCACTAGTAGTAGGACCTTTATGTGTAAAAAGGCAGAGATCAAGAATCAGATAGTGTAACAGCCTGTTGAGAAATTGTCATAGCCTTGTAGGATTTTAGAAACGATTGTTTTTCTAGAAAAAGATACTCAGTGGGAGATCATGGAAGAATTTTTTTTCCTTCAGTTTACTCTTGCTCCACAAGGAAGAAAATAAGTCAATAGTGATATTGACATTCCCCAGAGCATTACTCAAAACATTAATCACTACACTACAGATAATTAGAATGTGAGAAGTAACTCAAGTTTTCCTTTTTATCAGTAAAAACACATTTTCAAGAAACTAAAGTGAGGTGGAAAAATATCAAGTAATAAGACATTTACAAACGATACATTTAATGATTAAGAAAAGCAAACTAATTTTTCATATTGTATTCCTATGTGGAAACAAAAGAGTTCTGTTCTTTGAACCTTGGAGAGTCAGGAGGTGACAGCATTCTTTCTGTATTTTGACTTTTGGAATACTAACTTTGGAAGACAAAGGATAGAGAATATTGCGTCACTTAGCGATTCTATCTTTATATGGTTTCCTAATTCTGTATTGATGTTGCTTATCTAGAAACTTTAGTTCTTTTAGGACATAAAGGAACATTGTGATTATGGTCACAGATAGTTAAACCATGTCACTGAGTCTGGCTTTCTTAACAGTTCTTTCCTGCACCTGGTTATTGATTACCTATAAAGAGGCACTATTCTATGCTAGGAAGATAGAGCAGTCAGCAAGACAGATGTGTTCCCCATGAGGGGAGTACAGATGATAAACACCTGATTAAGGAACTGAGAGTAGTGTTAAGTGTTATGAGCAGCATAGGAAGGATGATGTGGAAAATGATTGAGATGTGTGGGAATCTTTTTAGATAGGGTAGCACTGAGAAAGGCATTTCTGAGGAGGTGAGATTTAAGCTGCAGATATAAAAAAAATTTCCAAGAAGCTTCTGGGAGGCAAAGGCCCTGAGGCAGTAATGTATGTGTGAGAAGACTAGTGAGAAAGCTAAGGAGAAAGTGGTGGGTGTTAAGGTGAGGGTGGGGTGGTAGACTACACTTAGGTTATTTGAGGTCTCTAATAGGCCATGGTAAAAAATTTTGCCTTTTGAAAGATTGTTTATTTTAGAAATGTGCTCCTTAATTATATTGGGGTTTTGGAGCAGAAATACACTTTTGAAGATTGAGAGAAACTAAAAGGATGGCTGTGAGTAAAGACAGAGGTGAGAAATGTGCAGAGCATAGTTAGAAACAGATCGGTCTGACTGGAGGACGGTTTATGTTGCTGCATATGGTAGATCCCGGCCTCTTGTGTATTTCATATTGTTGTTTAACCTCTTCTTGAGTAAATGCTGATTGCCCTTATTTGAGAAATTGTAATTTTGCTGTTTGCTGTTGTGTCAGTACTTGGAGCATCCCCAATTGCAGTGCAGTAACTGAAAGTGCGACTGAAGTCTCTCCCCTGCTGACTTTTTCATGGAGAAACATTGGCTTCAGGTTAAAATGATGGTTGTTTAGCCTAGGCTTTGAGAATATGCAAGGGAAACTGGATGGAAGTTTGAATTGAGAAATGCAAACCGTTCGTTAAGGATGGCATTGAGCTGGTCTCTGGACATGTTCTTTAATCCAGTAAAATGTGTGGTAGATCTGGATTCTGAAGGGTGTCGAATGCCAAATTAAGGATTTAGGGTTTTATCATCTTGCTTTTATTCCTGTTCTGCCATCCACAGTTGCCCTTGCACTTGGCAGTTTAAATTACGAGGCAAAAAATGTTTTTGTTGTTGTTTCCAAAATATGTTATTTCATTATTTATCATCCTTTTCCTAAATTATTGCTTTCAGCATTGGGAAGCCATCAAAAATGATTGAACTGAGGCATGGAATAATGAAAGCAGTGTTAGGAAAGTGAATTGGTGGAAATTTTCAAGATAGGTTGGAAAGAAAAATGGAAACTATTTAGAAATCTTTAGCAGCAGTTCTGAGAGAGGTGAGTAGAGCCTGAACTAGTTCATTCAGTGGAAATGGAATATAGGGAGGAATATAAGAAACTCTAGGAAGGATGAGTTTTTGGCTCTGAATCTCTGTTTTTTTAGTTACGTTAAGAAGAAGTTTTATGAAAGAGAACTGAGAGGACTTGGAGGCCACGGATACAAAGAACAGAATGTTGGTGGTTTTTAGATCAATTTCAGAGACTATCCAAAGTTGTTGAAATGGAAATTTGTATAGAATTGGATATTGCTCATAAATATAGTATAATATTGCTCATTATATGGCTTAAGGATTAAAAATTATTAGTCATGTTTACAGTCATTTATTATTATATCAGCATAGAAGCACATGATAGAAGTGTTAAAAGATTCTGAGTGACATATAGTTTATATAGTTTAAATATGAGTCTTTACCCAGCAATCCCACTGCTGGGCATACACACAGAGGAAACCAGAATTGAAAAAGACATGTACCCCAATGTTCATCGCAGCACTGTTTATAATAGCCAGGACATGAAGTAACCTAGATGCCCATCAGCAGATGAATGGATAAAAAAGCTGTGGTACATATACACAATGGAATATTACTCAGCCATTAAAAAGAATCAGTTCTAAGTTCAAAGAATTTGAATCAGTTCTAATGAGGTGGATGAAACTGGAGCCTATTGTACAGAGTGAAGTAAGTCAGAAAGAAAAACACCAATACAGTATACTAATGCATATATATGGAATCTAGAAAGATGGTAACAATAATCCTATATGTGAGACAGCAAAAGAGACACAGATGTATTGAAGCATGTAAATTATCATATGTGAAACGAATCGCCAGTCCAGGTTCGATGCATGAGACAGGGTGCTTGGGGCTGGTGCTCGGGGATGACCCAGAGGGATGGGATGGGGAGGGAGGTGGGAGGGTTGTTCAAGATGGGGAACAGATGTACATCCATGGTAGATTCAAGTCAATGTATGGCAAAACCAATACAATATTGTAAAGTAAAACAAATAAATAAATTTTTTAAAAAAGAAAAGTATTTGTCTTTAACATAAAGTTCAAGTAAACAGTGATGTGACATTCCCAGGAAGTAGTTGTCACCAAAGAAAGAGATGTTATGCCAAAATCCATTTCCCACCCTCCCTTCTTCATTTTTATCTAGAAAATGTTAACAAGGAATGGAACTGATGAATATAGAGGTTCTGAATAATTTTCTTGTTAACCATTTTTAATTTTCTGACTAGGAATGAAAGTTGGGAACAGGTGGTGTGCTGCTTCCTGTTGTTGTTTAGTTGCTAAGTCATTTCCAACTTATGGATAAAGTGAATTGCTTTTCAGATTGGTTCCTAGGAAGCTCAGTGTCAAGTTTATAGTTCTTATTAGTAACTAACAAGCTTCCTCAAGTCCTTTTTAAAATGAAGTGATGTAGTTATGTTGAACCTTTAATAAATATCTAATTATGTGAAATAACATTTAGAAACATGTTATCTTAACACTCTATTTCTGTAAACTTGGAAGATTACTATGTTATCTGTGAGTGCTTGCTTCCCAGGTGGTGGTAGTGGTGAAGGACCGCCTGCTATTGCAGGAGACGTAAGAGACTCAAGTTTGATCCCTGGGTTGGAAAGATCCCCTGGAGGAGGGCATGACAACCCACTCCAGTATTCTCGTCTGGAGAATCCCATGGACAGAGGAGCCTGGCAGGCTACAATAGGGTGGCAAAGAGGTCCGACGTGACT